AATAAAAAATATTGCAAAAGAAAAGTTTAATCTTATTTTTTTTGGTTTCCACGCTCTTCAGGTGAGTGGCATACACTCTCTCTATAAAATATCGAAAAATGGTTCAATAATTTCACATTTAAATAGTTTAGGGGTGTATTAGGACCCCCGCAAAGTTTGAGTGTCTTTTTCAAAAATAGGTCTTACTTTAATGGGGTGATTATGTATTTTCTCTTTTTTTAATCATATATCGGTTCACGTTACTTAGTTAATTCATATTTGAAATAGAGTAACCACACGAAACAATTCAACTCGATTAGTTTGTTTTTTTATTTTTTAAAAAATGTGAAAATAGTGATACATGAGCCTAGTATGATATGGCAAGTAATACAATCATTTATAATAGACTAAATTGTTATAAATAAGTTTTTCCTATACAATATTTGGAAAACTATCTTAACAATTTCTGGCACATACATTTAATTAAGAATCAATTTCAGATAATTTTTAAATTTTAATTGTGAATTTCAACATAAAAAGTTTAAATTTTTGAAAATAAAACCTACATATTTAAAAATCACTTAAAAGATACTATAAATTACATTAACAATCGAAAAATCATTAGAAGACATATAAAAAAGTTTGATAGAAAAAATTACTAACTCCTGAAATTTAAAAAAATATTACTTTTTAAAATTAAAATAAACACCTTATTACGGTAAAAGAATTTTAAAATAAAGCTTCATAATTTAGATTAAATCTTTTAAAAATTCTAATTTTATTTTCATTTTTTTTACACCTACTAGTATATATCTTATTATTACCTCTTTTGAAGAACAATACAACCATGGTATCTAATATTATTTAAATTAAGAATAGAAATATGTCTAGCTCTGATACCAAATTAAAATGTGTGATATATATCATTTGCAAGCTTCATTGTTAAAATATTACACTTTTAATTTAATTAATTTTATGATCGAGAAATTCATATATGATCAGCCCTTAAAATCGACGCAATTTTTAAAATTTGAGAATAATGTATTTCATTATTTTGGTCTTTTTCATTTAAATATCACTACAAAGTTCAATTCACATGGTGCTAGTCTCAAACTTAAACTAAGCTTCAGGAACTTAGTTGACTAATTACTCTATCACACCTTAACAAGTTTTTTAATTTCAAAATTTTTTATTCAATCTAAGAAGAATTTTTTTTCATTTTTGAATTGTGTATAATAAATCTTGATTAGTTTTTCTTCATCATAAATATATTTACATTACTTATTTAACTGACATTTGGAATGAAGTAACCATAGGAAACAAAACAACTCAATTACTCTTGTTTTTTTCTTTTTTAAAAAAAGAAAAGAAGTAGAGGCAGTTACACATGAGACAATTGGTATTTGGATGGTAACATTGTTTTCTAGGGCTATCAATACAACTATTTTGAATAAACTAAGTTGTTTTAAATAAGTTTTTCCTCTACAATATTAAAAAAAATGTCTAACAATTTCGGATACATACATTTAATTAAGAACTTGTTTCGGATAAACCCACTTGAAATTTCAAAATTTTAAATTTTAAATTTTGTTTGTGAATCCAAACATAGAAAATAATTTATTTTAGATTTTTTTTTGCATATTTGAAAATTATGCAAAAAGTACTATAAATCATAATAATTAACACCTTAAATTGTGAATAGACATGTAAAGAAATTTCGGTCAAAGAAACTTTGCTTGACTCTTAAAATTTTACTATGATACTCCTTATATTTTTTCTTAAAATGAATGCCTTATTACTATAATCATATTTAGATTTCAAAATTATCATATTGACTTTTGTTTTTTAATCATTTAACTTAAAATCAGGTACTTTTATATATATATATATATATATATATATATATATATATATATATATATATATATATATATATATATATATATATATATATGATTTACCAACACTTTTAAAAATAATTTAAAATTATTCTAACTTGAAAACACTTGGTATAAACCAATCCAAACACTCTTAAAAATAAAGTTTCGAATTAAAATTGTTTAAATTGTACTAATTTTTATTTTTTCATTTATTTTCTCACACCATCAGTGCCTATCTGTCTACTACCCCTTTTAAAAAAAACAATAAATACTAGTTAACCAAAACCAAACAAGGAACCAAAACTTCAATTTATTCTTCTCTATTACTCTTTTCCTCTCAAACACAAAAAAATGGTATCGCCAAAAAAAAGTTCTGGCTCTCGGCCGCCTACCGGAAAGAAGAGGTCATCATCATCACCAGACGATAAATCTCCTCCTTCGCAACGTCCAAAGGTTCGCACAAATAATTTTCATACTTTTTTTTAGTGTTTCTGTGAACGAATGATTTTTCTTCTTTATATGGATTGCTGTTAATTGGTTTTTTTAGGCAAATGATGACAATGTGGATTCACCTAAAAAATTAATGATGCCATCGGAGAAAGCGAAGGAGTTATGCTTGACTGATCAATCAAAACTCGGCGACAACAACTCAACTGACGAGAAAGTTGATGGTGCGACTGTCGGAAAAACAATCATGATCATCGGAGAAGCTATGACACCTATCATAGATGGCAAGCGTTTTTTTTTACTCGATTCGTCCACTTAATTTTACTTATCCGTATATTAATGCATATGTGAACTTTAGATTGTCTTTTAGTGGCTGTTGATTTAATGCTCATTTATTTTTATTAATTATTTTAATTAAAAGTCAAGTGTTTATAAGTATTTTTTTAACTAATCCAAATATTTTAAAATTGTTTAAAAATTACTTTGTCTTAAAACATTTAAAATAAGCCAAATTCAAGTAGACTTTTGATTTATGATTTATAAGCTAAAACTTATATGTTAAAATTTTTAAAAATATAATTTTTGATTTATTTTTATCATTTTACATATATTTATAAGCATTTTTTCTTTATTTATCTAGACACTCTAAAATTGTTTTAAAATTATTTTAACTTAAAAGTACTTCAAATTAATCGATTTAAATAATCTCTCAAGTCTATTTTAATATAATAAAAGAAAATTAGGAAATAAGCAATAAATTAGCGTGAATAAGTAAAAATGTACACGTGTAGCTTATTTATCTTTTTTCATTTTTTTGAGAAGTTCACTGCTTTTTCTATATTTGATACTAATATTGAATGCACGTTTCACTCAGGTGCTGGAACGAAGAAACCTTGGTGCCGACTTATATCAGAGTTTCCACAGGTTTTTTATTAGTAGCATTTATTTTTATTTAATTATTTTTTATGGAGTATGTAGTATTTATTTTAGATTAATTTAAATTAATATATTTAGAAATCTCATTTGGGAAAAAGCATATCAATTTTTTTTCGTACTCAGTACTTAAAATTGATATCTCTGATTAAAGAAGAAACAACTTTATCTACTGTACTCCATCCTTTAATGATTCTTTTAACTATTTTTTTTTTGTTGAATTTTGTTTTATACAATGTGAATACACCGCAAAACTTTTGTTTGATATCTAATATAATGTGAATACACTGCAGAACCCAACTGTCGATATTTCCGAGCCACGTTTCATGGCTGGTGCGGGCAAAGGCCTTCCTGAAAATGCAATGGTTTGTGTAAAAAGACGGGAAGAGGTAGTACTCTAATTTGGATTCCCTTCCTTATTAGGCGGTTCAAATATTTTGGTGGTCTAAAGACAAAAATATATTAGAAAACTTAAATTTTTGAATAATAATTAATAATACAAATTTTATTTAAAGTATATTCTTTTAGAGTATTTTTTTTTTTTAAGATACAAAGTTGATGATATATTTGTTAAAAAAATATTTTGAGATGCAAAATTATATCTTTGTTTTTGTATGATTTTTTTTACTCTTACTATAAATAGAAATTTCCCCGTTTCAATTTGTTTGTTTGATTTTATTGATGCAAAATTTGAAATTTAATAAAAACGTAAAGAAGAATTTTGAAATTATAGCATCAAACTAACCTTTCACTACAATTTTTTTTTTTTTTATAAATATTTTATTATTGCTACAAAACAAAATGAGCCTCTCAAATTTGGGGAAGTGTTATTTTTATATATATGCGCAGAGCCGCCCCTTCGGCTTCACTCTCCTAAATGTTGATTTGCTTAACAGTTAGGGCTGGTTTGAAAAGCCATCGGAGAATTGAATTTGATGTAATTTGTAAAGCTACCGGAAAATTGAACAAACTTCTTCCTGAGAGGTTACTGGAGCAATTTGACTATGAGCATGTAGCACATGGAAGGAGTGCATTAGTTAGCATTTTGTGAGATGAGATGAAGTTTATATATTGTATATACAGTATGATTGATCATTGTTTGTGTAAATTACCAGTATCAAAACAATTGGGTTGCTATTATTGAGAGGAAGGCAAGCAGAGAACCACTGCGAGTCAATGGACATACACTTGATAGGAATACCAGTGGCCTTCTCAATTCTGGCGATGAGATCATCTTCGGTCAATGGGGAAAATATGCCTATGTATCCTCTACTATTGTGATTCTTATACTATTTCTCATCATTATGATTGAATATCCTTGACGTTGTTCTATATAGATTTTTCAGCAACTGTTGTTTTCACCTCCAAATGTTGGCAGTAGCAATGTTGCTGATGTTGGATCGTCTAGCCAGATCCTCCCTCTTGATGGGAACCTGGACTCTGGCATAAAGGAAAGCAAGGTAAAGTATTTCTTTTGGCCTATGAGTTCAAAGACTGATCCATGTGATAACTCCATGAATGGAGATTGAGAGCTTAGTGTACTACAGAGAGAAAAGAGAAAGTAGAAAGGGAGGAAGAAATCATCTCATTTAGCTCAATCGAAATTACTGTTACATTGCATTCTCTTGTTTGTGTATTGCATTCACTAAGAACCTATATATACACATTGGGATTCTAACAAACTTCCGAACTGAATATAAGTCCTAACTAACTTGCTTACTGAATATTGGAATGTGGACCTTACTAACTCATACCATATAGCTTGTAACCACCTACACTGATCAACACCATGATATAACTAAAGAAAGTATTTGTTAACAGATGTTGGAGGAAAGAAGGTTGACTGAGGAATCAATACATGCTTCAACATCATCAGGGATGTCTTCAATACCTTCTGTATTTAGGGAACAAATTCAGGCTACAATCATTGATGGAAAAGATATAGAAGTTTCATTTGATGATTTCCCTTATTACTTAAGGTATGCCTCAAGACCACATAGCATAATCCAATTACCCTTTACTTTTTGCTTGTGATTTGATCTTTTGGGCATTTGCTGCTTGTCACTTGCTGTTTACACAGGGTTAGCTATGCCTCATCTTGTTCTTGATGCTTGTAGCTATCTCATAGTATGCAGCTATGTGATTTAAATAAACCTTTAGTTTTGGTGAAGATGTCTATATCTGTGAATTTGCAGTGAGACCACAAAAGCTATGCTGATTGCTGATACATATATACACCTTAAGCATAGAGAGCAACTTAAATATGTCTCTGAGCTTCCTGCAGTCAACTCAAGAATTTTGCTTTCTGGTCCAGCAGGTTTGTTGCTTTCTCAGTAATTATTTAACTTATTTTGTCTCTTGTAATTATTTTTGATTTCTCTCACCGAGTGCTTGGTAGATATTAATCTATGTGTACTGACCAGTTCTGCTTTTGTTTTCCAGGATCTGAAATATATCAGGAGATGCTGGTGAAGGCACTTGCTCGTTATTATGGAGCTAAATTGCTCATTTTTGATAGCGATGCTTTTTTGGGTGTAAGAACAAATTACTCATTATGTTATCGAGGAACATTGCAAAATTACACCTTAATTTTTTTTTGCTCTTGATCCCCTTGAAGTACTACTAGTAGTCACCTTGCGTTTAAGACCTTCCTACATATTTCTGTAAAAGTGCTCAGACCTATAAAGGGGCTATAGACATATTGAGGGATGTAAGGAGAGTAGTCACATGCAGCTTGTGAAAGCTTCTTTTCATGTTTTGTGTGTGTGTGTGTGTGTGTGTGTGTGTGTGTTGTGGGGTTGGGGTTGCGGTTGGACTATTGAAATCCTTCATGTCCGTTTCTGGACTTTGGTATTCTCTTGGTCAGCTGCAAATCATGAATATATTTCCATATCATTCAGGGGATATCTGTGAAGGAAGCTGAGCCAATGAAAGAGGCATGTAGTGCACACAAATCCTCTTTATCCGGGGCATCAAATGTATTTAGGACAGGTATTGTCTGCCCTTTGGTTATTAAGGAATTATATCTTTCTTCTTCAGATTTTCTTTTTTACTAATAACTGATGTTGAAGATGTTTAGGTGATAGAGTCAAGTATATTGGCTCTGCTTCTGGTGCACTGCACTTGAGTCCCATCTGGTAAAATTTTAATTTTCCTAGAAACCTCAATACCAACTCTTTTGTATTCAAAATGATTTGTATCTTCTTATATTTGAACAAATTTCTGATGTTATTTTTTGATGGTCTGTTTGTCATCTGTTCTCAATGCCATCAATGAAACTATTTTATCCAAAAAAAAAGAATCATTCTTGATGCACATGAGAGTAACTATATGGTTTAAGGATAATTAGAGTGAGAGAGGAGTATTTGTTTACTTCTTTTTTGATTTGTTTTATTTATAAAGTTAAGACATAATTTTTGCTTTTCTGCATTTTCTAGAAAGTGAATTGTTCTTTATCTCCTGTACCACATTTTGTTCTGCAACTGCCTATTCTATGTTTTAGTACAATCTGAGGCTTTAACCTTCTCTGTCTTGTTCCATTGTTCCAGGGGCATAAAAGTTGGGTCTACAGGGAGGGTTGTATTGTCTTTCAACGATAATCTATTCGCAAAAGTTGGTGTAAGATTTGATAACCCCTTCATATATGGCATCGACTTAGGTGGTCTTTGTGATGATTCTTATGGATACTTCTGCAAAGGTACTTTTGGAACACATTTAACTATTTTCCTTTAATTTATTAAGTTAAACATTCTTAAGTTTGCAGTCTTAGTTTTACTTCCAATTCCTTTTATTATTTCTTCCTCTCAGTCAGTGAGCTGTGCTTAGACGCCACTGCTGTGGATGCTCCGGACAAGTTACTCGCTAATACATTGTTTGAGGTGTGAATTCTTTCTATGAATATGAACAGTGCTTGTGGAATTTCTGTTCCTTCCTTGTTTGGGTTAAACTTTTCTCTTTACATTTCATTCTACTTTTTCAGGTTGTTTTCAATGAAAGCCGAAAGTCGCCATTCATTTTGTTCGTGAAAGATGCTGACAAAGTAATGGCAGGAAACTCAGAATTATATTCAACATTTAAAAGTCGGCTTGAGAAGCTTCCTGATAATGTAATTACTATTGGTTCACACGCTCATACAGATAATCATAAGGAGAAGGTACTATTTGAGATCATATTGCCCACGAATAGATGCATGCGATTATATCTTTTCCTGTTTAATAATGTGTATACAGTGTATTAAGAGGCCTGTTGTGAAAATTTATCATGGATTAAATTTCTTGGCTATAGTAGTTATTGGTGCCAAAATTTTGTTAGACTGAGGCTTGATCAAGAGAATGAGAGGTGACTCCTATTACAACAAAAAGTTTAAAAGACCATCTTTGAAGCACAAAGGAGACATTAGTCCTGCTATATATATAAGTGCATGCATGCACATGCAACATACACACACTACACATTGCGGTACACTCTCTCTTTTGTATATATATATATATACACACATAAACATGGCCTCAACGGCCGTATATAAGAGATGTACCTGAAAGTAGAGAATTTACTATGATTCTCTACAAACTCCACCCAATCATCTATTCAACAAGAAACTTTCTGTGTGCACCAAAAGAAAATAAGAGAACAAAGACTACTACACCTTCAAAAGCTCTCCTGTTTCTCCCTCTCCAAACAACCCACATTAGCGCTAGTGGAATCATATTCCAATCCCTTCATCTTCTCCTTCTCATGCTCTTCCAACTGAACATCAACTCTCTCACAGTGTTTGACATTATCTAAGAAGTGCGAAACCACCCAAGCATATCCCACCATAACATCATAGTCAATCACAAATCCTACTTTTTGGAAAATTTAGGATTTGAAATCAGGATACAAATCGCATGTCCAAAAACATCCCAAATTGCATGTCCAAAGACATCCCAAATTGCATGTCCAAACGCCTACTAAATCTCTAGTGTTGAATTAAAGCCAAACCCGTTATTAACGACAATAGAAAGAAAAAAACTGAGAAAATAATTTAGGAAATCGAACATTTGTACTACATTCTTTCATAATCATAAATGAGGTCTCTTTATGTGATCTTCGACAATCCTTCCCTCATTAGTTAAGTTTTGTGGTTGAGTTAGGCCCAAGATGATGTAACTTGGCATCAAAGTCGGGGATATCCCAATCATTATTTATCGATGTTAGGTCCCCATTTATATTGTCCATGCTCGAGATGCCCAGTCTTAGGCGCAGGAGGTGGAGTCCGACATCTTCTCATTTAGGGATGGCATGTCTCTTAATATATATATATACTCACTCGGTTTCAATTTGTTTGTCTGGTTTTGTTTTGATAGGGGGTTTTAAGGAAGTAAAAAAAACTTTTGAATCAAAGATATTAGAATTTAACAAAATGCCTTTAATTTTGTATTCTTAAACATGCATGTGAAAAGTTAGAATTAAAAAAGTTGTCAAAGAGGGAAAGATGCATTATCTTGTAACAGACTAAAAAGGAAAGTAAGATGAATAAATTGAAAGGAGGCCAACCATGATAATATTTCTATAAATAGATTCAAGCACAATGTTTTTTAAAATGCCCAAATGCAGCAAAAGATAGTAAATCATGTAACTGTGATTTATGTGGTAAATAATTAGTACTCTATCTTGAATGCCATACTGAATGATCAAATGATGTTTGATTGTTCTGGTTGCTTATGGTAATTGTGCCCATAATAGTCAACCCAACCATATAAATATGGACCGACAATACATAGCAAGCAAAAAGAGTATTTCATTAATCATATATGAATAATCACTCTTTTCCTTGATGAATGTTGCCGATTTGGCAAGTGTGTTACTTTCGGTTTATCAATTTTAAAATTTAGAAGCCTACTTGTCCTTCATGAAAAAATGTCACTATATGCATATCAGGTTGTAGGTTTTCACTCCCTTTAAAATGTAGCTCATGCAATCAATTAACTACCAGGTTGGTGGCGCCCATTCGTAGATAGAGTTAACGAGTCTTTCACATGTGTATCCTTTACCAAAGGGTTGCATCCCTTCAAATTAATTTGGTATTTTTATTTACTTTTTTTTATAAGTAGGTCATTTATTTAATTTAAAAGGGTATTTAGGTAATTTAACATGTATATCCTATATTTATGTGATTCATTAAGGGAGTTCGAAAAATAAAGATATAATGTCTGAGATTTCAACTTGGAACCTCAAGGTAAATTTTGACCCCTTTCAACCAATGAGTCAACCTCTAATCTTATGTTCAGCGGAGCGGATTGAATATCTGTATATATACATAATTTTTTTTAAAAACACCTTATATATACTGTGTAATTTTTTGCCGAGGGGGTTCGGGTGAACCCCTTGCTACCTCCTAGATCCGCCCCTGCTTGGAACCCAATCATGTTTGCTAATCCTTCTTGGAAGATTAGAGATAATCATGTCTTCATTTTACCTAATAATTTCCTCATGGTTCTCTTGATTTTAGCTCATTATGCCGGATCTAGTTCATTAGTTTCTCAGTGTCTCAAAAAGCTGCTCCCAGTTGATAATTTGGAGTTTGGATGATTTACAAAACAGTTGGATCAATTAAGTTTGTCATTTGCCTTAATATGTAAAATATGTATCTTCTTTTGATATTTGGCCCAAGGGTATCACCTTATGCTGCATTTGGAGTCATCACATCCCTTGTTGTTCACAATACTAAACCATAAATATAGTTGGCGACTAAACAAAGTCATGCATTAATTGTTGAGAAAACGCTATAACTGAACTTCTAGAGATAGGAATAAGAAATTAGAAATTTAGTATAAGATATTTGCCACGAAAAACTTTAAGTTACATCTTTCCATTCAAATCAGAAATTTGAAATGAACTTTGAATTTGATTAGCTTCATTTTTGCTTCATATTTAGGCTTAGTCATAGTTTTTCCATCTTTTTCAAATTATAAATAATTACTGTTTATGTTTATCAATACATTTCTATTTTTCATATTTTCATCATTAGTGCTGTTCTTCACTAAAGTCTACTCTTTAATTGCATCATGCAGTTAAAGCAACAGTACTAGGGCTTTTTCTTGCGCCTTTTGCTTTTGACTACTCTAAGTTTGTTCAAACTGACCACATATCAGACCATGATCTTGTAATTTTTCCTTCATCCTCTACTGTGGTGTTGATATGTTTGGAGAGTTTTCTGACCATTCTTACATATTAAGTGGAGTTATGGCTCCTGAAAACCATCCTCCTTCCTTTTTCTCCATGCCTGCAGTAATGAGTTTTCATAATCTCCCTTCCTCATGAGTTGAACCTCCATAGTCATTTTCCACTTGACTGTTATTGTGTAGTCTCAAGTCCCTTCCTCCCATTTCGTTGTTGCTGGCTGTAAATACTGCCTCTTCTATCAATCATGTCCCCATAGTTTGATCGAAATAATTGCCATTCTCCACAAAGAAAAAAGAAGAAAAAAGGCCCCTACAGCAAGATCATCTTGTGACTTGTTTCAAGAGGGTACCCGAGGTCAGTCGTCGGAGAAAAAACCAATCTTATAACCAAGAGTATTAATTAGTAATTGTAGGTTTAGTACCTCCTCTCCTGTTGTTTGCTAAGTTAATATGCAAACACATGCTGCTTGAAAATGTAGCAGAATCGTCCTCAATCTAGTTTAGAAATCTTTCTTCTAATAACAAATTGTAAAAATTCCCCAATAAGGAGCAAGAATACCAAACTGTAATTTAAGTGGTGTTATAAAGTGTTCCAAATCATATTGTTAGATTGAGTTAGAGTTGCACATTTGTTGAGGATTGGAGTGGTGGTCTGTTTATATGAACTTGGTCACGAGTTGGGCCCAAGTGTCATATCTTTACACATATATCTCTTTCTCGACTCAAAAAGAGTGGAGGAGAGGAAGAGTGTGCTTTAACTCTTCGCTCAAGTTGAAGTCATCCTTTCAATTAATTTAGTGAATATTTGAGTCTGATTTGAATTTTAAAAAATAGAGAGTCATTTGCTATACTGGATAGTTTCAATTAAGGATGAAGAAACTAATAGTTGTAAATCAAATTCTTGTTATGCAGGGAAATTGCATTTTAATTATCTAGAGTCGATAAATTTAGGATAAAGCAATATTTAGACAAAATATTAAGGTGTCAAACACCTAAATATAGTAATTTATACTTTATTTACTAGGGGCACTAGCAAATTAAAATCTATTGATTCAGAAATCTTTTAATCTTCTTGAACTAAGCTTCAGGAACTTAATTGACTAATTAATTATATTATATCTAAACAACTTCTTTAATCTCAAGGGATTCTTTTCTATCTATGAAGAAATGATTCTACTCCATTTTCGAAATATGAATAATAGACCTTCATTAGTTTATCTGAATGGAGTAACCACACAAAGAAACTCAACTCAATTAGTGTTTTATTTCTTTTTTCTTTCAAAAAAGTAGATGGAAGCAGTTACACATGAGACAACTAGTAATTGGATGATATTCCACGTGTACCGTGTATTCTTAGCATTGTTTTCTGTTCTATGGACTACTTATACAACTATTTGGATTAGGTTGTGTTGTTTTAAACCAGTTTTTCCGGTACAATATTAGGAAAAATGTATTAACAATTCTTGATACATATATTCAATTATACTTTGATCGTCAATCCACACATAAAAGTTTCAAAATTTTGAAAATACAATTTATATATTTAAAAATTACGTAAAAAGTACTATAAATCACAATAATTAATAACTTAAATCTTTAACAGACATATAAGGAAATTCTACTCAAAGAAACTTTGTTTGACTTTTAAAATTTCAAATGTGCTACTCTTTAAAATGAACGTTTTTTTACAATAACCAGATTAAAAGCTTGTTTGAAATGATTTACTTTTTGGCTTATTTTTTATTATTTTAATTTAAAATCAAGTACTTATAAATACTTTTTTTTTTAATTTACCTAAATACTTTAAAAATATTTTTTTCTTAAAAAATAAAACTCCATAAAATGGATTAATTTTTCTAGAAAGTCCTAATTTGTTTTTTTTTCAACTTTATTCCCTCACAACTATCAGCCCCTACCTGTCTTACTACCCCTTTCAAAAAACCAATAAATACTGCTAACCAAAACTAAGCAAAACCAAACACCCAAGCTATTCTTCTCTCACTCTTTTCCTCTCTAAGAGAAAAAAATGGTATCGCCAAAAAAATGTACTGGGTTTAGACCGCCCACCAGAAAAAAAAGGAAAAAGAAGTCATCATCATCGTCCGATGATAAACCTCTTTCGCGATGTCTAAAGGTTCACACAGATTAATTTTTTTATTTTATTTTTTCTTAGTGTTTGCTGAGTCTGTTGATTTTTTTTTTTTTTTCTTGTGGATTGATATCAAATAAATTTTTTAGGTAAATGATAACAATGTGGGTTCATCTGGAAAATCGGTGCCGATCTTTGAGCATTCGAATGAGTTATGCTCGACTGATCTATCGAAACTCTGTGGCAACTGCTCGGCTGATGAAAAAGTTGACGATGCGTTTGCCCGAAAAGTTGGCGACGTAGCTGTTAGAAATGCTGTCACAGAAGGCAAGCGTTTTTTTTCCATTACTAGCTCAATCCATTTTAACGTATCCCGTTCCCCTATATAAGTGTCTGTTTGGATTTTGATTGATTTTTGTTACTTAAAACATAAAATTAAGTGTTTATGATTTTAAAAAATATTTTAACTTAAAAGTACTTAAAATAATCCAAATTCAAACAGGCTCTAACTTGTAAGCCAAACATCATAAGTTAAAATTTATAAGGATTTTTGACTTGTTTTTATCATTTTAGTTTAAAATGAAGTGCTTATAACTATTTTTTGAATTTATTCAAACACTTCAAAAGTACTTAAAATCTATTTTAAATATGTTTTTAAGTCTATTTTTAATATAATAGGAAAAAATTAGGAAATGAGTGATAAATTAGCGTGAAATAAGAAAAATGTAGAGAATACGTGTAGATTATTTATCTTTTTTCATTTTCTTGAGAAGTTCACTGTTTCTCTATCTTTGATGATATTGAATGCACGTGTCATCCAGGTGCTGAAACGAAGAAGCCTTGGTGCCAACTTTTATCTGAGTTTCCGCAGGTTTTCTATTAGTAGTATTTATTTTTTAAAACTATTTCTTTTTGTTTCTGTCCGGGTGTCCGTTTTTGGATTAGATCCTTATTAATTCAGATTTGCACTGTTTAGGGCCCCATTAAGCGGAAAGTATATCAAGGATTTTTTCATACTCAAGACTCAAACACAAATTCGAGATCTCTGGTTAAAACAGAAACAACGTCATCCACTGCAACACTGGTTCTTTATCTATTTTTGCTGTTGAATTTTTTTGATATAATGTGAATACACTGCAGAACTTTTGTTTGATATCTAATAGAATGTGAATACATTGCAGAATCCAACAGTGGAGATTTCTGGGCAACATTTCATGGCTGGTGCGGGCAAAGACCTTCCCGAACATGCAATGATTTGTGTGATAAATCGTGAAGAGGTAGTGCTCTAATTTGGATTAGCTTGACTTTCCTCACTATTTAATGTTGCTTTAACGATTTAGAAAACCACCCGAGAATCGAGTTTGGTGTAATTACATTGTTTGACATGTTTGTTTAATAGGAGGAAGTCAAATTGGGTGTAATTACACAGTTTGATGTGTTTGTTTGACAGTAGGAAATTGAGTGTAATTGGAAGGGATAATTACGTAATTTCAAGGTCACTTTTTAACTTTTTTATTTCTATTTTTAATTTTTTTAGATTGTTTTTAAATTTAAAAAAAATATATTTTCATTTTATATTATTTATCTTTCATTTCCAAACATTTACTTCTTGGGATTTAATGTAATTGTTGTATTTTTTTCTTTTCATTTTCCTCATTTAACATAATTACATTATTATTCTAAGTTTTTAATTAAAGTAGAATTTTATATTGCATAATTGCGTTATTATCTCATAATTTTTGTATGTTACATTTTCGATTCCAATTTATTTGCTCTAGTAGTATTGACTTGTTATTTCATATTGCATGCCATTCATCTTTTAGTTAGAATTAATAGATTTTCCTTTTGTTTAACATTTGAATAATTTTATTGCATTATATTTATAATATTAAATTTTTTGTCAAATATATATGGAGTCCATGATGTTCTTATAAAATGTGTACTTTTAGCTTTTATAATTAATTAAATTAAACAATTATTGATTATGGAAATATATGTCAATTATTTTTTACAATATTAGTTACAGATATATGTTTATTAATTAATATATTTTCTAGAAATATTATACCTTAAACACCTAATTTAATATCAGTTATAAAGACATGTTTGTTTAATATTATTTTTTATTTTTAAAAAATGCACTTATTCAACCAAATAGTACGCTTGTAATTACATTGACAAACAAACATGTTGTAATTACTGTACTGTGTAATTAGTAGGGTGTATAATTACTACCTGGTGATAACACCATTTCTAACTATTATGTGGCTTTCCAAATAGACACTTAAAGTCTCTCTGCCATAATTCATAGACATCACCATCTACTAGTGAATATTTTAGTTTGAAGATTCTTTTGGACAATGCATTGTTTCCAATTAATCAGCACAGATCTTTTCTTGGTCCGATATATCTGTAGGATCCTCAAAATTTCTCTTTGGGCATTGCAATATTCCCTGGAACCTCTTCAAGCATTATGAGCAAACTACCTTTTGGCGCTCTTCCTTAGAGGTTACCATAGCAATGTGAATATGAACATGTAGCACATGGAAGGACCACATTAGTTGGCATTTGTTTGATTGTTTATTTGACATTGTATATACAGTATGATTAATCATTGTTTGTGGAAATGATCAGTACCAAAACTCGGTGGCTTTGATTGAGAGGAAGGGAAGCAGAGAACCCGTGCGGTTCAATGGAAATGCCCTTGGGTGGAATACTAGTGGCCTTCTCAATTCAGGCGATCAGATCGTCTCTGGTCAATTGGGAAAATATGCTTATGTATCCTTCCCATATGGCGTTGGCTTAGGTGGTCTCTGTAAAGATTCTCATGGATACTACTGCAAAGGTACTTTTGGAATGCCATTTAACTAGTTTCCTTTAGTTTATTAAGTTAAATACATTCTTAAGTACGCAGTCTTAGTTTTACTTTCAATTCCTGTTATTATTTCTTCCTCTCAGTCAGTGACCTGTGCTTAGATGCCCTGGCTGTGGATGCTCCGGACAAGTTACTTGCGAACACATTGTTTGAGGTGTGAATTCTTTCTATGAATATGAACAGTGCTTGTGGAATTTCTGTTCCTTCCTTGTTTGGGTTACTCTTTTCTCTTTACATTTCATTCTACTTTTTCAGGTTGTTTTCAATGATAGCCGAAAGTCGCCATTCATTTTGTTCGTGAAAGATGCTGACAAAGTAATGGCAGGAAACTCAGAATTATATTCAACATTTAAAAGTCGGCTTGAGAAGCTTCCTGATAATGTAATTACTATTGGTTCACACGCTCATACAGATAATCATAAAGAGAAGCTACTATTTGAGATCATATTGCCCACGAATAGATGCATGCGATTATATCTTTAATTTCCCGTTTTATACTGTGTATACAGTGTATTAAGAGGCATGTTATGAAAATTTATTATGGATTAAATTTCTTGGCTATAGTAGTTATTGGTGCCAAAACATTGTTAGACTGAGGCTTGATCAAGAGAATGAGAGGTGACTCCTATTACAACAAAAAGTTTAAAAGATCATCTTCGAAACACAAAAGAGATACTCCCTTGCTATATATATAAATTCATGCGCGCAGATGCAGCGTACACACACAGCACACTCTCTTTCTTTTGTATATACATATAGTTTCATTCATAAGCATGGCCACAACGGCCGTATACAAGAGATGTACCTAAAAGTAGAGAATTTACAAAACAATATGATTCTCCCATCCAATCATATATACAACAAGAAACTTTTTGAGTGCACCAAAAGAAAGTAAGAGAACAAACCCTACTACACCTTCAAAAGCTCTCTTCTTTCTCTCGAACTCTCCAAACGACCCACATTAGCGCTAGTGGAATCATATTCCAATCCCTACGTCTTCTCCTTCTCATGCCCTTCCAATTGAACATCAACTCTCTTATAGTGTTTGACATTGTCTAAGAAGTGCCAAACCACCCAAACATATCGCATCATAACATCATAGTCAATCACAAATCCTACTTTTTGGAAAATTTAGGATTTGAAATCATGATCTCAAATCGCATGTCAAAGACATCCCAAGTTGCATGTCCAAACGCGTACTAAATTTCTAATGTTGAATTGAAGTCAAACTCGGTATTAACGACAGTACAAAGGAAAAAAACTGAGAAAATAATTTATGAAATCGAACATTTGTGCAACATTCTTTCATAATCATAAATGAGGTCTCTTTTTCGACAATCCTTCCCTCATTAGTTAAGTTTTGTGGTTGAGTTAGGCCTAAGATGATGTAACATGGTATCAAAGTCGGGCATATTCCAATCATTATTTATCGATGTTAGGTCCCCATTTATATTGTCCATGCTCGAGATGCACAGTCATGGGGGCTGGGAGTGGAGTCCTACATCTTTTATATATATATATAATACTCACTCTGTTTCAATTTGTTTGTCTGGTTTTGTTTTGATACGGAGTTTAAGGAAGTAAAAAAAAAAAACTTTTGAATTAAAGATATGTAGAATTTAACAAAATGCCTTTAATCTTGTATTCTTAAACATGCATGTGAAAAGTAAGAATTAAAAAATTGTCAAAAAGGGAAAGATGCATTATCTTGAAACGGACTAAAAAGGAAAATGAGATGAATAAATTAAAAGGAGGCAAAATAATTTTTCTATAAATAGATTCAAGTACTATGTATCTTAAAATGCCCAAATGCAACAAAAGATAGAGAAAAGATCATGTAACTGTGATTTATATGGTAAATAATTAGTACTCTATCTTGAATACCATATTGAATGATCAAATAATATTTGATTGTTCTGGTTGCTTATGGTAATTGTGCCCATAATAGTTAACCCAACCATATAAATATGGGCCGACAATACGTAGCAAGCAAAAAGAGTATTTGGTTATGGAACCCTTCGGGGTGGACCAAGGGTTTGGGCTTAGAACTTCCATGTTGGAGTTCTCAAGTTCGAAATCCCTTGCTAGTGAAAGCAAGAGGTTTTCCTTGTGGGTCGAGCTCGTCGCACCAGGCTTGCCTAGTGCAGGTATTCTTTTTGGCTTTTGACAGGTTAAATAGGACATGACATACTTTCAGCTAACTAAACATATGGACTTAGATAACAGGTTATGGAGGACTCGAATTAGGATAAAAGGTTAGTTAGGTAGTTGAATGTTGTTTCACCTATTCTTCCAAACCAGTAATCATAATACTACTTTGTAATTTCTTATTACTTGATTTTCTATTACTATTTGACGTATCCTATACTTCGATTATCGTCTTATTTGGTTGTAGTTATAGTTACATTTTAAGAATCTACAAGTTCTTGCTTGCTTTTTCTTTCTTCTATATATGTTGTAGTGGTAGTAGTAGTAGTAGTGATCTATTTGGGTTTTTATTGGCAGCATCATATTCCTGCTAATGTGGCTATGGATGGAAGAGTTATCAATTTGGGATTGTGGAAAACTGAAGCTACTTTTTATTTTAATAGATTTACATAGCCTCTTGATCTTTGATTTGTGTGCTTAGTTAACAGTATTATGAGATTATCTTATGAAATTTGATTTTCCTGTGTGTTTTAAAGGTCAAGAAAATTATAGCAGGTTATTTGGCTGGTTGTAGAGTTCAAACAGGTATTTTCATCACAATTAACTTACTTAGTTGCTTTATTTGGTTAACTTTCTGAACATAAGGTAGAAAACAAAGACTTGCTACCATGAAATTTGATTTAAATTCCTGGCTTCTAAAGGCCATGTGCAAGAACTTTCCAATGCCTTATGCAGATTATATTTTCTACTACATTACGGAAGCCTTGGCATAACATGTAAAGTTATTACTATGCATGTGATTAGAAGGTCAAAAGTTTGAGCCGTAGAAACAGGATAAAGTTGCAATAGACTCTTATGGTCCAACCCTTCCCCGTACAAGCTGCCCTTCCACTGCATTATTATTCTCTCTATGATATTTGCTTTTTCTTTGTTATTTTTGAATGACACTTAGTTAAATCCACAGGAAAATGCTGCTGGTGATCTCTTCTCTTTTCATTCAATTTTTTGGACACGAAGGGCTATCATCTAAGCAGAGAAATAAATACACAGGAAGAAAGACACAAAGGAAGATGGGAGTTAACACTTAACACAGAGCTCTTTTCTCTCAAATAGCCTAATCTCACTTTTACGTGTGTGTATTTTTCATTAGTTGTATACTAAAATTCTTTCAATATAGCTTCATTTTCCTCCATCTTTGCTCCTTTACATTCATTTCACGTATCTATAATCATTACATCAGCTATTACCGTTGGGCCCGTGCTAGCACGGGCACCACCTATCTAGTATAAATAATAAATGTTGAACTCCATCAGTAAAAATCTTGATTCCGTCAATATGATTTGATAGTTAAATCACAAATTCATGAGTTAATTCTGCTATTTCCGTGGAGAAGGGCAGAGTAGCAAATCCATCATTCTCTAGCTTTGTCTATAGTTGGCCTAAAAGATAAGTTTTGGATGAATTTCTCAATATCATTAAAAGAACAGATAATTAATTAGGAATCATGGCAGTTAACTTATACTAATTGTAGAGTGATGGATAAGGTTCGAATGGCGTTTTAGTGGTAAGTCTAAACATTAAAAATGGTGGTTCAGATATTTCTTGCATTCATTCACAGTTAAAAATAACCGATTTGATTTTGCAATTTTTTACAAAATTATTTTTTACTTTATCTTCATTTTTTTACTATAAAAAATATTTAAAAGATCATTTCTTCCGTCGATAAATAATCATTTATTTGTTTGAGCTGAGGGTGTTTTGGAAATAAACTCTCTGACACTTTTTGAACCTCATTTTACCAACATAGATTGTGGTACATTGGTGGGATTGTTTTATCCTGAACTAAGGATTTTTTGGTCCGAACTCTGGATATAGAGAAAATCTTACTAGGAGCACCATGAGTTTTAGATATGGACAAAATCTTGTTGGAAGTGTCACCTACAAATGAACCTACTATGCATTTATCGGATTTAGTCGAAACTTCAATATGGAGATTCAAAAATATATATATTTTAAAAATGATTGTATATTGAACTTCAAAAAACATCAATATTACAAGCAAAACAATTGAGAGTCGGCTGACCTAGGGTTTTAAGCCAGCAGCTGCTCAGCTCTCATGGTTGCTACGACCACTGGACAGCCTCCTTTCGAGGCTGTCCAGCCCGCCCCACCACCCCAAACCACCACATACGCCACCCTTTTCAATTCCAATACTATAAATCCTAAACAATCTGCCCTAATTAACTCAAAAACAATCGCAAAATCAATCGAAATAATTCATGGAGAACCTACTATCACGTTTTCAATGGAGGAAAGGCAAGACTTTATGATTGAAGAGGGATTGCATCAAGCAGTGGTGTTTAAATTATCCCATGGTGCGCCAGATTTGAAGGTATTAAGGTCAATTTTACCGAAACATCTTGGTACCAAGGGCAATTGTTTAATTGGCTTACTTGCTCCAAGACAAATTTTGTTGAGATTTGATCAATATGAAGATTATGTACTAGCATTATCTCGCTCAGTTAATTATCTTCTCTACAATGGAGAGGAGCACCAATGTAGGTTTTTCCATGGTCCATTGGATATAATCCTAAGGAGGAAACGACGTTAGCTGTGGTTTGGATTTCTTTACCAAACTTATCTCCAGATATGTTTGCAAAGAAGTCTTTGTTGTCTATAGCATCGGCAGTTGGGAAACCAATAGCTATAGATAAAGCTACTCAAGTCAAGTCAAGACCTAGCTCAACTAGGGTCAAGGTTATACTTGATCTAATGGAAAAGCTTCCAAATCGTATAAGATTGCAGTTTGTAGATGGAAAATCTGGTAAGTTGATCGAAGTTTTTTAGGAGATTGTATACGATAATCTACCTTTGTATTGCAATTATTGTAAGCACCAAGGTCATGATGAAGATAGTTGTCGTTTGATCTCAAAAAGAAATCAAAATAACAAACAAATTGATGATACCATTGAAGTTGCTACAAAAGGTACTATTGATAGTGAAAAGTATCAAGGTGATGCGAGAGAAATACTAAATGAAAAAAGAAAGGTTGTAGATATCAATCAAAGTAAAGCTACTTCGTTAGATAGGCAGTTGGTTGATGTCCCTTCTGAGCAAAATCGTGCACACTCAATGGATGTTGTTACAAGTAATATTGGTGTTCAAACAACGACCAAAAACTAAAGGGGAACACCAAGAGTTGGGGTTGATGCGCCGCGAGTTGGTTCAGGCAAAAAAATAATGGATTCAGGACACAAACTAATGGATACATCTGATGTTGAAGATGCTGAAAATTCTGGGCAGTATGTTTTGCAAGTTGAAACCAAGAATGCAAC